TTGGAGAAGAAGTGGTATACCAGTCCTGAGCAGTTCAGTGAGGGTGGCTGCACATTTTCATCAAACATCTACTGCCTGGGGGTTCTTCTCTTTGAGGTTTGAGAATAACCTTCTAGTCAAAATCTATTCTTTTTCTTGTCTCATTCCTGCAGGAAGTTCAATCACCTAGGCATGAGTTGTAGCACTCTAATCGCAATGACGTTCATTCTTGATTCATCACCTCTTCTAGAGTTGGTGGTTTTCACTATTCCGTTGTCATTTGTTAGAAGTCCTACTAGTGCAGTAAATGCTTGGGAAGTTAGGTAAGAGTATGATGTGGGTCATGTGATGTCAAGTCTTGAGCGAGGTAGTTAGCTCATTTCTAGCTTAAGTAGTGGATAAGGCGGATCACATATAAGTTTCATTAGCTAGGATGTGTAAGAATCTAGAATTTGTCTAGTAATTTCTCTAACAAGGTCTAGGGTATATCTTGCTTTCTTAAGATAAGTTTACAATCATCCTTAGTATTTGTATATCTAGCAGAATATGCATCTATAACATCCATATGTGCCCTTAGTTCTGTGTAGGCTCTCTACTTTTGCTCAGTGAAGCAAGCAAATTACTGTTTTCCACCTTTTAAGTGGTATCTTAGAGCACTAAGTTGATACTGTATTGCAGTTACTAATATAGGTTTTTTCTTTCAGTTGCTTAGCTCATTTGACTGTGAAAGGTCTCATGCAGCTGCACTGCTGGATCTTCGCCATAGGATTCTTCCCTCTTGTTTCCTGTCAGAGCATCCCAAAGAAGCTGGATTTTGTCTTTGGTTGCTTCATCCAGAACCTTCAGCACGTCCAACAACAAGGTGGTCAAAATTTCTGCCTCTGTTTGTTTTCTCTTGGCTCCTTAACTGAGAATATGTGTGAACACCTATGGAGAAATGAGCTGCAAGCTAATGATTGCTGGCTTCTCTTGACCTTTGTGTTTACATTCTCTTGTCCCTAATTTAAGGAGTTTTAATGAAGTGCTGCTATGTATCAAAACTTCCTTGCTCACTTAAAATTTGTGATTTTCTAAATGTGAATCGTTAACGTATAGTTATGAGTGTACTGAAACCTCCTGGTTTCTTTTTCAGTCTTCTTTTTTCATTAGCATTTTTACAGTACTTAAGTTATCTCATTATTGGTCTGGAACAGGGAAATTTTACAGTCTGAAGTTATTGGTGGTATTAAAGAATTACCTGGAGATGTATCACTGTCGTCTATTCACGAAGAGGAATCTGAGTCAGAGTTGTTGTTGTACTTCCTCATGTCACTGAAAGATCAAAAGCAGAAGGATGCCTCAAAGCTAGTGGAAGAAGTCAAATGTTTAGAAGCAGATGTCCAAGAGGTTCAGAGGCGCCAAAGCAGCAAAGCCCCTTGTTCGTCCTCACACCAGAAATCTCTTGTTTTGTGGGATAGCAGGTTTATTCGGAAAGGAGTATCAAGTTCGGATGTGTATCCGAAGCTTCCACCTGATTGTGAGAATGAAACTAGATTGATCAAGAATATCAGGCAGCTTGAAAGTGCTTACTTCTCTACGCGATCCAATATTCAGCCTTCTGATGACGTTGCCATGGTCCGCAGAACTGAAGAAATCTTTAATAATCAGGAGAACTTTGTCTCAACAGGAAATGATAATGAGAAGTATAGACCCACAGATCGGGTTGGGGATTTTTTTGATGGCTTATGCAAGTATGCTCGGTATAGCAAGTTCAGAGTAAGGGGAATATTAAGAAATGCAGATCTGAATAACTCTGCAAATGTCATATGCTCTCTAAGCTTTGACAGGGATGAGGAATATTTAGCTGCTGGTGGGGTATCGAAGAAAATTAAAGTATTTGAGTATCATGCCCTCTTTAATGATTCTGTTGACATTCATTACCCAGTTATCGAGATGTCAAACAAATCTAAGCTCAGCTGCATTTGCTGGAACAGCTATATCAGGAACTATCTGGCTACCACTGACTATGATGGTGCTGTTAAGGTGTGTATTTTATTTTAGTTTTCTTCCAGTGGCATTGGTAGAGCTGGAGCATTGCGTTATGTTATGCTGAACCTGTCCCCTGCTCATATTTATTGCTTATGGTGACTAGTTATCTGATTTATATTCAAACATGGCACTCCAAGCTCAATTTGCATTATCACATTTATGGAGTCTTATGTTCATTGCAAATCTTTCACTTAATGTGGGTTGCACTGTAGCATGAGAGAGCTTGGACTTATCTGCTGTGCTCTATGTCAAGGCATCTTTTTTTTCCTTCTTATCCTAGCAATCTAGAAGCTTGTAAACATGTCCTGGCGATACTTTGAGTCTGTGAATGTTGTACCTTGTTCCAGAGGATAAATTGACCCATCCACTGGAAATATATTTGTTTCAACTGAGAGAGGGTTGGCTATGATCCTTATTCTGATGTGCAAAGAGATAAATTGTTCTGAAGCGTATAATTGATAATGGTAGATGGGAGTTATTTCCTCATGAGCAAGATTTACTAGCATTTATCCCTCTTACCAGGGAACAAAAAGCATTAAGTTTTGATCCCTTGTTATCTGAACTTGGGTTTTATGGTTCAAATGGTGGAGGACATGAATTTTCAGAGAGACAGAGGATGTAGAGACCCTTGGAAGACGAGAGCAGTGACTTTGGAAGTGTTGGATTAATGTAGTTGATTAAGGTGAAGCTAGGACTTTTGGCAGGTCTCACGAGGCCTCTAAATGATGAGTCTGCAATTGTCCATGTACTCTAGGTTAAGTTACTAATTCTAAGATGGGACCTGGGTAGGCACTCCATTCTTTCAGGTATAGGAATGTTACCTAAAAGTTGGGATTAACCTAGTTAAACATGTAGAGAGAAGTCTGAGAACTAAATAACCCCTAACTGATGTGGGATTGAGGGAGGTTGCTTAATCATTGGGATCTTCTAGGCTTTTGCTCTTTCAGTTTGTCTTCTGTTTCGCACATTTTCATTTTTCTGGTCTCTCTGATATTAACCATGAGCGTGCACGGTATCATGAAACTTGTCCACTCTTGAATGAATTAACTACCTCATCTTCTTTTTGCGTATCTCCTAATTTGCCTTTCGATATACTTTTTAAACAACTTAAATAAATTGTATGAGTCTTGTAAACTTTATGTCTCTTCCAGTCTGTTCTCTTTCTCTCACAATTGATTTTGCTGGTCTTGGTCTGGTATTTACTTCACCCTTATATGGCTATTATGTTTTACACATGCTGCTTAATTTCTTGTCTTTTGCTGCTCATTAACTCTAACCTGTAAACGCTGGTGTTAAGTTCACTAGTTTTATCTGAACTTCTTGACATTGTCAATGGTTTCAGTTATGGGATGCGTCTACTGGTCAAGCTTTTTCGCATTTGACTGAGCATAATGAAAGGGCATGGTCGGTAGATTTTTCTCGTGTGGATCCCACAAAGTTAGCCAGTGGAAGTGACGATCATTTGGTGAAACTTTGGAGCATCAACGAGGCATGCTTCCCTGTTCTC